CGGGAGAAAGCACAGGCGGTCGAGAAACGACGATAGGCTTTACTCACCAAGAGACAAATCCATGCTGTCAAGCTAATACTTCCGAAAATTCCAGAGAGCGCTTGGCCCCAGGACATGGAGGCTCCCATGGCGACAAAAGCCGAGGGAGCGATGGAAACCATATCACAAACTGGTGCTCTCTAATGGCGTCGAGTGTCTCCGCGCAAGTTGGACCAGGACGGAAAGTTTGAAAAGACAGAAAGCGGGAGGCAGACACGAGAATGAAGGGTGCAAAACGTGGCGGCGAAGCAGACGACAAATGGTCTAAGCTTAGTGCTGTTTGTGTTGGCGGCACTGTATCTTGGCTCACGAGGTCAAAAGGCAGAACTGGCGGTTGTAGATATCTGGGGAATTCGGGTCTCGGGGAAGAGGCAGCACTTGTTGATTGAGCCCATCGACCACCAAGAAACAAGTCTGGTTTAAGCCTTTTCATGCCCACTTGAGCAGGTACTCATGTACTCACTACAGAGTCAGCCGGATGGCTCTTATCGCTGGATCTGGGGGAAGTTGATGAATATAGCGACGCTGATTGGCTGACCCTGCTATCGGTGTCGTCCGGCTTCGGGCGTGTGACGCACCATGGTGCAGCCCAGTGCGTGTGGCTGCTAAAACAGTGGAGCAGTGTTGGACAATAGTACTACTACCAGCACTTGAGAGCTCGGCCGGGCCATCGCTACACAGCTGCAACGTGGGCACGCACATACACATAGGCCGACTCGGTCGTGGTGATAAGGATGGCTGCCGGGTTTTGTTTTCCTTTGACAGTGTTATCTCGACAGGTTCCTCGGTGCAACTGGTGCGTCCCGCCAGCCATGTTCTGCAGTATGACATGCCCCTGCAGGTGCAGCATGCCACTGTCCAACCCGCCCCTCATGGGCGCGTCTTCGGGCACGGTCAAATGTGTTGCTGATGGTGCTATTGCCTTGCGTAGGGTGGGTTTCCATGCACCCAAACACCGACAGACTCTGTAGCCCTGCTGACGGTTTACATGGCTTGGGGCGACATCCAACAGCCAACAGGTGTCGGGTCAGTTTTTAGTCTCCTCTCCAAATGTCAGCACAGGCGCAGGACTCCGATTCAGAGCACATGTGGCTTAGGATGGCTGATGGCTCCCGCGTGGCACAGGACCACCTGACTAGTAATACCTGGGTGAGCAGTACCAGACTGGACCCTTATTACCTTTAACGCGCTACGCGAAGATACCTCAAGCACTAGGTACGGTGGCCGCAGCCAACATCCTACGACCTGGTCTGAAAACTTTCAAGCTGCAAATACGGAGTATAGAATCACCACAATACGGCACATACGACTTGGAATGTCTAAATGGAACGCTCCTTCCGTGGGCGTCGCCAGCAAATGTGCAAATAGCGTCAATGCATGCTTCGTGAATCGTGGGCGACCCAGATGGCCAATGCCATGTTTGTACTCCGTCCGGAGTACTTTATTTGCTGTACCCAGGTCTCAGGGCTGCATGCAATAAATATATTGCAACGCCGTTTCACCTGGCATGCCGCCATCGCATTGATTCGCCCTCATGTACTCTGTCCACGTCTGTCTGCCTCATCGCTCTGCCAACCCATCGCAACTGCCGCCTTAAACCTGGTTGGGTCAACAGGCAGGGTCACTTGGGCGGCGGCCCAGACTCAACTGAGTGCTAGTGTGCACGCGCTGCACCAGACTTGACACTTTGACGCGTCAAGCTGGGCTCTCTCGGGCTCGCCTCTGTCCCAGTAACGCATTTGGAATATAATAAGTTATTGTCCCTGGTACTGGTGCTTTTTGCCGCTGCCTTTTGAGATTCATCAAAGCATCCATATCATCATGAAGCCGTCGGTTGCCGCTTTAGCGTTGGGTCTTGCATCGGTGCCTGGCACTGTTGGCTGGGGATGTACGTTCCGACATCAATGATTGAACAACCGCGGACGGGGCAAGTCTCGCAGATTGCGCCGCCTTCAAAAGCTAACAGTTGAAATTTACAGCCTTGGGTCACATAACCACCGCCTATCTCGCCGGTCATTTTGTCGCCAACACGACAGAGGCCTTCTTCAAGGACTTGTTGCGTAGCCAGGATGACGACTACATGGCCAAGGTCGCTTCGTGGGCTGATTCCATCCGCTACACGAAATGGGGCCGCTTCACAAAGAACTTCCATTTCATCGACGCACACGACGACCCGCCTCGGTCGTGCAATGTCGATTTCGACCGAGACTGCAAAGAGGACGGCTGTGTGATTAGCGCCTTGGCCAACTACACCAAACAGTCTCTGGACTCATCTCTACCCGCGTGGCGCCGCGCCCAGGCCGCCAAGTTTGTCATTCACTTTGTCGGCGATTTGCATCAGCCGCTGCACAATGAGGACGTGGCTCTTGGCGGAAACCGCATTCATGTGTTGTGGGATGGCAAAAGCTTCAACCTCCATCATGTCTGGGATACCTCTATCGCTGAGAAGTGGATTGGCGGCATGCACGGCAAGCCATATCCCCTCGCCGAGAAATGGGCCAACCAGCTTGCCGGCGAAATCAACGACGGCAAGTTTGCTGCTGAGAAGGGGGCGTGGACGAAAGATCTCAACTTTACCGATGCCATCGGGACGGCCATGGCTTGGTCTAGGGAAGCAAACGCCTTCGTCTGCACTCACGGTATGTGGTGACCTCGGAGACCAAATATTGCTAGCAGTCAGAATTAACGTGTCAAATAGTTCTTCCAGAAGGCCCCGAGGCTATTGTAGGTCAGGAGCTTGGTGGCGATTACTTCAACAAGGCTGGTCCGGTCATTGAGAGGCAGGTTGCCCGTGCCGGCTTTCGAATGGCGGCCTGGCTTGACAACATTGCCGACGGGTTCGATGCCGGGCCGATGGAGGAACCGGTATCATTAGAATTGTAGAATAGACGAGTAGACAGTTTGACAAAAACAGACAAAGACATATCATCTGTCGTCCGAGACTCGGATACAATTCCGGCCTGATTTCCTCCTGTTCAAGTGCCATCCGGTTTCGCCTACGGCCGCTAGGTTCAAGTTGGCCGTCTCAAGTTTGGCAATCCGGCAAAAAGGCGCAAAGGAGCATCTGTCAGCACCGCATTCCCAGAGTCTCTAGGCAAAAAACAAAGTGCTCCCATTTATGACGTCGACAGATGGTTCGTTTTCTACGCTGGCCACGCTCGTGCTCTCGAACATATACATGGGCCGGCAAACTTTGGCCTAGATGGTGCCACAACGACCACTTGGGACGAACAATGCTACAAGAGACATAGGGCCTTGTTCCCATGGTGCATCCCTACTAATGCCGCACTCATCATAGTCCCAAAACCTGCGGCCAGAACTGTTACAAGTCCAAGATGGCTGCAAGTATGGTCCTGTTTCAAAATTGCCACTCCTTGATTCATCCGGATCTGTTACACTGTGGAGGGGGGTATACCAAAGGAAATAGTAAGATCCGGTAATACCCAATTTGAATTCTATTGACAAATCAAATCCCAATGGGCCATGGTCTCGTGAGGTTCATCCGTCAGATTTGGTGTCGGCCAGGGTATCAGGGCGAAGCTGTGGCGGCCCAACATAAGCAAGTGTGCAGGCCTCGCGTGCCATTTTGAGCCATCATATACCAATACCAACTGACATGTTATGAGGGAATACGCTTGAAATTTCTCTGAGCGGTCGGCGCTGTCGATAGCAGAGTTGGCCAAATGTAGGGATTTTGAATACCTCTCGTAAAAACTCCCAAACAGACGATCACGTCCGGCATAATCCAGTACCGGAAGGTTCGCAGGTGGGCCTTTAAACAAAAAAGAAGAAGAGAAACGGAAGAAGAAAGGAGATAAAGTTGCATTGAGACGAGATGGTATAGAAGAATTTGTCGTGCCCAATTGGCAGCTGAATGCGACAACCCGGTAGTTCCATCTGATGTCCTGTGACGTTGCCACTAGCACTTGACTACTCCGTCAGCATGGGGAAGGAAACTGACGATCTTACATCCCGCATCGAATAGGACCCATTAAAACTTCTACTACTGTAGAACGCCAGGGGCGATTCCTCCGGAAGGCCATCGCTTCAAAAGTTGGTCATGGGGGAGGTGTGTATTGTAAGAGGCAAGAGGCAGCAGGCCTCCCATGGTGACGGATCGCATGAACTCGATCAACTCTGCAACAAAATCCGGACAATCAACCGAAAAACAAACAGTAGATTAAAGTAAAACCAAACTTTTTTACAAAAAAAAAAAAGGAAAAAAAAAAAAGTACATGCAAGTTTCATTGCTAGGTTCACGCCAACGGCGAGTGTCAAGTCCAAGCGTTGAGCCGTTCATCTGCAGTTGCTCTTCATGATTTCGGCCTCATCCAGTCTGGACTCGGAAAACGGGAAAGCGGCAGGCAGCTGTGGCGGAATGCAGAGCCGACGGCTTTTGGTAGCTTGTTCGATGGCCAGGTGGTGTGACGACCTAACAGCCTGGAGAGCTTGCCGCTGGCCACTGAAAGCAACGTCGAGCGTGGTCACGATGCACTGGCCGTCTTGTTCGAGGTTGTGATTCAAGGAGATGATGAGGCGAAACGTGCACTGCCTTGGAGTTCGATCCGAAGAGTAACTGGCGTGTCGTCATTGCTCATACCGAGTCCTGGTTGGCTCGGCAAGCGCCCCGCCATGGCAACCGTGACAAGGGGCCGTCGTCGACAGGCTTGAGACAACCAGAGCCGCAAACTCTCTTCCAACTCCAGGTCCTTCTTGGAGCCCTCACCCATTTTCCGACGTCTTTGGCTTGACTAGCCCTGCGTCAACATCACGCACTTAGTGTGTCGACCAGGGCGCCACAATGGGATGCGAAGTTTTCACACTCACTCACAGCTGCAGACTGCGAAGGGATGCAGTCTCCCGAGTCGACTTGATGAGAGGCAATTGTCTTCGCTCTCTCGTCCCAACGGCGTTGACAAGATGACTTTTTTTTTATCACCAACAATCAATATCCAACTTGCTACCTACCTAGCCTGACAATCCACCTCTTTTTTTTATGTCTGCTTTCTTGGGGCCCCTGCTCATTTGTCGTTTCTCATTTGGTGTTTGTCTCGTCTTGTTCTGCCGGATGCTAAGACGACGCATGTCAGACGGCAACGTTTCCCAAACGCGGAGGCTCAGGTACACTGGCAATCCTTCTTTCCCGCTCCCTGAGTTTGAGCCCGCTGTGTGATTATCTCTTCCTCTGCAAACCTGCTCTCTCTTCAAGCTTAACGAGTACAGTACTCCATCGCTCACCCCCTTCCCTCCCTCCACCCCCCCAAAATGGCTAACCGTTTGATCTCCGTATCTGTGGGCGTGGTATGCAATGAAGCTGTCTGATGAATATTGCTCATAATTTTTTTCCGAGCCGTTATTTCCCCTACACGAACCCAATTTCGAGGACCCTCCCTGCCCCAGGCCGGCTATCCTTCTCTTGCTGCGGCCCCTGTCCTACCTAGATACTTATAATACAGGTCTTGGCGTCCGCAAGAGTATTTGGCCCCATTACCTCCTCGTCTTTATTGTGTTTGGTCTTTTCTTTCCTCTCTCCTCATTCTTTTCTCATCCAAACTTTTACCGCTCCTTTGGTAACTCGCCGGCCGTGTACCTCTGTTTGCGGCGAGTGACTGTGTACTGTATCCATTCGTTCCTTGCACTTCTCACGTACTCTCCTTTATTATTCCAACTTACTCATACTGGTCTGGAACCATTTATTCTTCTATTTCATATTTACATGCAAGGAAATACAACATACTGTGAGGGGCTTCTTCGTCGATAACAAACCAACATCAGAATCATGCATATCAAGACTTTAGTCATTGCCCTCATGGGCGTGTGTACCGCTGTGCAAGCCGCCGAGATTGGACGCAGATCTCCCTTTTCTCAGGCCCTGGAGCGACGTCAGCGGGGCGGAAATGGAAATGGCGGCCAGGGCAATCGTGGTGGCCAGAACAATGGCGCCGGCGGCAATCGAGGTGGCAACAACAACAACGGCGGCAACAACGGCGGAGGCGGTAATGCTCGAACACTAAGCGCAAATGTCGTTCAGGAAGGCTCTCAGTTCGATGGCAACAATCCCGGAGCTGCTGGTCAGGCTACCTCACTAACGTAAGCTCTTCTCAGGGTATGATGACCAGGTTGCGAATATAAAGTCTAATACGAGTTACAGTTCCAACAACAACTTCATCAACTTCTGCCAGGGCCAGACCTTGACCAACGGCAAGCAGATCAGCGCTGGTTCTTGCAATGGAATTCGTAAGTTGGCAACGAGATGACCTCTGCGGAAGTGCTCTTTGTCTAATGTTTTCGTAGCCATGGGTCAGATTCCAGCTACACGAAATATGGTTTCTAGCGTTTTTGTCAACCCCAAGAACGGTGACAACATCCCGGCCAATAGGGACTTTAAGATTCAGGTTCAGATGCTGAACTTCAATCCTGGTACCTTTACCAATGCCACATCTACATACTACTCTGCTCCCCAGCAGCTTGATTCACAGGGCAACATCATTGGTCACACTCACGTCACTGTCCAAGACACCGGCCGAGGCCAGAACCCCACGAGACCTCTCGATCCCACCAAGTTTGCCTTCTTCAAGGGTATCAATGATGCTGGTAATGGACAGGGACTCCTGTCTGCCGATGTGACTGGTGGGCTTCCTGCCGGAAACTACCGCGTGTGCAGCATGTCAGCTTCCTCTAATCATCAACCTGTGCTGATGCCTGTTGCCCAGCGTGGTGCTCAGGACGACTGTGTTCGTTTCACTGTTTCCGGCGGCGGCAACGGGGGCAATCGTGGACAGGGCGGACAGGGCGGACAGGGCGGACAAGGCGGTACGAACAATGCCCAGCGTCCTGGTGGACAGGGCAATAACCGTGGACAGGGCGGACAAGGAGGACAGGGCGGCAATAACCGTGGACAGGCTGGACAAGGAGGACAGGCCGGTAATAACCGTGGACAGGCCGGACAAAGAGGACAGGGCGGCAATAACCGTGGGCAGGGCGGACTAGGCGGAACAAACAATGCCCAGCGTCCTGGCGGCCAGAGAGGACAGAGCAATGGTGTACAGCAAGGCCAATTTTTCTAGGGGCTCTGGCTCCGATGCTGGCAGCCGCCGAGGTGGCGCTTCCCCAAATAATGCCCAAGGTGGCGTCTGCCCTCCTGATATTCTAGGACACCGGTGACAAGAATGAACCTTTTTGAGTTAATGGGGATACGTTAATGGCAGGAGCCTAGGTCGTTCAGCAAGTCTGCGGCCAACAGCTCAACGTCTGCGTGGGCGCTTTGAAAAGGGGACCATTACCGATGGCGGAGCGACTGATTGTGATGGCCAGTTCGATGCTTACACAACAGAGCTAGCGGGCAGATGGAGCGTCAGTTCTTCAGCCTACTGACCATCCAAAACGAACATTCTTATGCCTTTTTCATTATTTTTTTTTGTTCGATTTTCTTGCGCCACTAGTTCACACAAAAAACTGCGAGGCTAGCATGCAAATACCCTCTTACTATTGCCTATTATTCGACCTGAGGCTAACCATATCTGTCCGCCATCTATCCTATTGACTACGGCTACAGAATGAGTCGGCTTACGAAAACCCGCGATTCTCTCTCTGGCTGTTTTCATAGCTGCAATAAGTCCTGAAGTTCAGATGGGAGGCCACGATTTTGCGGGCTGGGCAGGAGATGCTGCTGATGGCTGGGAGAAAATTTTGTTGAAGCTTGAACTTGTTGGACTACTATAGATGTCCTTGGGGGCAGACAGCTTACAGAAGCTGGTCTTTAACTTGGCAATGGCTAGGGAGAATAGGTGGGTTGCCATCGGTGCAGTGTACAGCTACGTCGCTTGCCGGACGAGATCAGATCATGATGGGGATACGATCCCCCCTTGTACTCGCTGCTCTAATTTTTTGGAATTTCATGAATATTTTTCTCTTTTACGTGATGTTTTACCTCGCCTCCCTCGCCGCCTCGGTCCTGGTTACCATGACTTGGGCCGGAAAGCCCAGTCTGGCATGCCCAGGTGCATGATTGTGACAATGTTCCCCGACAGATGATCAAACGAAATCCCACGTAGGCTTTGTCGTTGGCGCTAGTCAACTGACCTTGCTTCTGCGCAATCCGAGACGGTACGGGGCCAATTCGACGACACCAGTGTCAGAACCCCAGCAGTACATGCCTGCAAATGCCGAAGTGGCAGGTTGTTGTTGCGGCGAGGGCGCGGGTTGTTTCCGGCCATGTCCGTAATAAGGGTCCTGGCTCCCCTTTTTGAGGAATGGTGAATAGTAGTATGTGGTGACGATGGGTGGTGGTTGGAATGGTGGGACGAGAATATTCGGAATGCCGTCAGGTACATCTTGCGAGAGAAAAGTACAGTGTATCCATTCTGATGAAATCTGTAAATTGTATATTTCCTCTTCTCATCGTGCGCGCGGCACCGGTTTGGCAGCGCGGTGAACATGAACCGTGTTACTTGGTCTACAAGGCGCATTTGACAAGTGGGAATATTATCGTGGCGAGACGGCTTTGGTAATGTTGTTTGAGAATGGGTTTAAGCCGGGTGTGCGGGTTGGGAAGTTGGTTTTGGGCTGGATGGCCTTGTTTGTGGTGGATCTTGTGCATGACTGAGCGATAGTGTGTGTGTGCTTGAGTCGTAGACGTGAGATATTTGGGACTGGAGGGAGTACGTTGTGGACTTGTGAACAGATGACGCTGTTTTGGGTCCGGATATAATGTATCATGTATGTATCCATGCTGTTGAGCTTTTCTGTTTGTTCGACTTGTCCAAATGGTAAGTGATGCAAGCACTACATTGGGTAGGGCCGGTAAAGATACACAATGTGGCTGGCGGTATATACATCTCCCTAGATTTATATGTATGCAGCTACCTAGGTCTGTACTTGCTATGCCTCGATATTGGTTTCTGGTGGGCTCAAGCAACCATGACGCTACCTGAGACGGCTGGGAAAGTAGGCCTTGGCCGGCTGGACTTTTCGGGCATTCACGTCGCAGATGAGTGCCGGAATCACGACGCGGGTTCCCGTAGTGAGCACCAGTCGCTGTATAGCATACGCGCTGGTGCTAGCTGGACGTCAGGCGGGTGAAGATATCCTGCAGGGAGCCTGGACGTGGGCTGAATCGATGTAGTAGCAAGAGGTTGGTCGATGCACATGTGTAGAGTAATCCTCGGCCGAGTTGGTTGCTCCGGCCTACCATTTGTGGTATATGCAACCGCGCCGGTGTTTGGCACCATCTCTACTACAGTTGGGAATGGTGTGCATTGCTTCACACGGGGATCTTGCTGCCAGAATCCAAGCTGTAAAGGATTTTTGGTACCGTTACTCCGTACCAATAAGGCCATTGACAAGCTGTCATGCCAGTGTCTTTGCTGTTGGCAAGTTTTGTCCATCCGTGGGTTTGACACCTGTGACGTGGTACCCGTAAAGTCGTCAACGTTGGGTCTGGTACTTTTCCAGTCAATTGGGGCGAGAGTCTGCAGCTAAGCCGTCAATTGAAAGGATTTTGTGGGAGTGACGATGCACGCCCTGTGCTTATTCCCGACCGTCTTTTGCCAAGACGATCAGCAAGAACCTTTAATGCGCAGGATTCTTTTTTCCTAGAGTTTCCGCAATACGATGCCCAGTGTTGGATCGGGCTGACGTCAAAAGTCGAAAATGCCCAAGCCGCCACTGCCGCCGATGCGGGTGGCGCCACTCGACTTTGGTCATGCTGTCAGCCTTGGAAGTTAAGTTGCATGGCCTGCTGATTCGTCGTATATACGATCGGTCCCGGACCAGCCACTCTGCAAACCATCATGCAGGTCTGCATGGAGTTGCACAGCAGAGGCTCGCTCTCGAAAGAGCGTGCAGACGGAAATGCCTCACATTCTGCAGTGGCATTCTAAAAATGTCACATTCTACCCAGGGTCGTGTATCCGCTTCTTCTCTGCAACAGCGTTGAAAGATCGGAGACTGGTCAACTTGTGGCATGATACACCACCCCCTTGCCGAGGCTCATGCAAGCCACAGCGGGAACGGCCCTCTGGATGGGTTGCAAGCGGTGGATCTAATCAATCACATCTCCTCCTCGGTGCAAGACGACTCGTTGCGGCCCTGGCAAGAGTTGGGTTCCCAACTTCCCACCGTCGATTCGCCAAAGCAAACATGTGCACGTCGGTCGCCACGAACACGTCTAGGGATGGCGAAAATGCGCACAAGAGACGAGCCAGGGAAGATGGCTGCGGATACGGGATCCACACGCCCAAGGATTTGTGGTTTGCGTCGGCATGCCTACCCTGACGATGACGGCGTTGGGCTCCGTTGAAGACGGCCGCCATTACGTAGTTGGAGATACAAAAACACTTGAAGACTCGAGATTTAAAGAAAAAACCCATTGTAGGTACCACTCTTTACTCTGCGCCTCACTCAAGCTCACTTGACAGCTACGACAGACGCCAAACACCACGACAACAAAGACGACAAAAGTGAGTACAAGTCCCCTCCATGGAGCGTCTACTGCAAGACAGGCAATGAATGCTAAAACTGCGAATAAAGAATCAGAATGCCGGCGACAACTTCAGCGTCTTCGTCGAAACAGGCCCGGCAAGGCTCGACGTCGCGGTCCACGTCGCCGCTCACATCAGTCGAGCAGCAGCACCAAGTGTCGCATTGCCAACCCTCGAAATCATATTCTGCCGGCTCGTCGACGAATTCGACCAGCAAACATGTCGTGTGGCGTCGCAACACCATGTCGACCCCGTACGGCAGGCCGCATACTGCGCTGCGGTAAAAGGACCGTCGTGTATAGCCTTGTTTCTGGGGTGTATATTGGATTTTTTGCTTTGGTTTCTGGGTGTTTCTCGAATTACTCTGCCCCGCTGTTTTTTCCACATGTCGCCAAGCACGGATATCATGAACGTTTTGTGTCGCAGATAGTTCAAGCTGGCATGGGGCGGGCGTTGCTTCTGCCTCTCACCTGCCTCTCGCCTTTGGGAATATCGGGCACAAGGAACCACTTTCGTTGAATTGTCTTTACCGAGACTTGTCGCGCCTAGCAGAGGGAGGAGCATGGAGGGTCCTTGTCGCGGTGAAAGAAGTCCCGTTTGCTGTCTGCCAAGTGTGAATTTCGCCAGTGACAGCGGTTCGGATATACGCCGAATCTGAATCAACTTGGCATGTTGTTGTATTCCTTGGGTTTCTTCCAAGTTTCGTAAGGAGCGTGATGCCGAAATCGGGGACACAGTTGCTGAAAACAGACTCGAACATCAAATAAGCTCCGCCTTACGGAGAAGACGACAACATCTGGTATGGGGGCTATCTAGCCTTGAGTCTTGTACATCAGCACCAACCAACTCATTGGCTTCTCATTCTAAACAAGATTTATCATGGTGGTTTTCTTATAGATTCAAAAGAAAAAAAAATGAGTCGCTGGCCAAGTTGGCAATCCTCTTGGCCCCCATCTTATAGACGACCGTCTCCGGTTGGGCACACGGCCAGCCCAATCCCACGGCATGACTCACCTGGCGGAAAGCTTATGCTCGACCAAGATTGAAGCTGTGTAGCTTTTAGACCAATATCACGTACTGAGTTGGTCTGTTGAGACGAAATGAATCGAGTGTGGCTGGCGGGAATTGAGGACATCACAAGGAGGGTTTCCAGCCCGTTTTTGAAATGGACCACCATTGAGTTAAATAGACGTAGCTGCCGCCAAGGATATCAACTGATCTGAAGACATTGTCTTTATTTGGAATTGTAATAAAAAAAAATTTAAGTATCCGGCTCTTTGGCTCTGGTCGACAGCATGAATGCCGCCAACCACCAACCCATACCGTCTGCCCAAGATCCCGGTGTGGTTGAGCAAGTACACGATAGCTCAGCGGCAGTCCTGCACCCGTCACCCCCAATCCCTCTCTGGACGTCACGTCTACATAAAGGCCGTCGAGCCCAGCGGCGTCAGGACCAACTTTGAAGGCAGTCAGAAGTACATGGGGACGGCATGCGGGCCGTCGTCAAGCAGGCTCTCGGTGCAGACGCCGGGATCGAGCCTGTTGCCATTGCCGAGGCTCTGTTCAAGGTTCGCGGCCCGCAGAGACCCAGGATCCCGCTTCAATTGGCGTTGGGCCATGTTGCTCTGAGGCCGAGGCTCGTCTTCAGACTTTGGAGACGTACAAGGACCTGGGAACCGTTCAATCACGACGGGTCAGTTGAAGCCTGCCCAGTTGGGCTTTGGCAGCGCGTAAATCGATGTATGCACCATCTTGAGCATCCCCCATAGATATGTTTACTTGCGCTCCTTCAGCTGGCGCATGGCGCTCTTGTCTCCTATCCGTATTCTGACCCGCAGCCACCGGTGTTGCAGGCCGTGACGATGCTTTCCAAACGACAAGTGATGGCCGCTGTAGACCCTCGGCTGAGAAGAATCTTGTACCTAGGTTATTACTTGACACTGTGTCCGGCCATGACGGACGGCAGGGCGCGAAGTCCACGGCACAAGTGCTTGTCATTTTGAAACACGGTCAAAGACAGATGACTGTCGAAACCCACGACGTGGCCAAGTCGGTCTCTGTCACTGACGGTGAGAATAAAAACGAGAAAACCCCCAGTATCAATTCCATTAAATGGCAATGCCTCCCGCTATGCTACTTTGTTGTCGTTCCGAGTCGGAGGTGGTATCGAAGCGCTCAACGCTATACGTAAATCACACGTCCCGTCATCTTCCCCCTCTCAACGATATTACATGCTCCTTTCTGTTCCGCTACCTGCGCGTGTTCCATTTCACAAACGATTCGTCCTAGATTACGCTTGGGACTTGACGGCAGCCCGCCGTCAGCGCTCAAAGTCACTCAGCAGTTGCGGCAAAGATACATACCCGCATCCTTGAGGCGTAACTTGGCCAAAGAAACAATCACCCCCCATTCTGGGCACGATTTGATCGTCCCTGATCGGGGTAATGACGATGCCGGCGCTGACAATCGAAGCGGCAACGCCGAGGACAAGAGCGAGGGAGGTCTTCATTTTTGGTCATTTTATGTAGGATTGGGTATTCACGGCCGGCGAGAAAACGATGAATGCAGGTCTACAAAGGAGAATGGTGGATTCTTGTTTCTACATTAGGAATTGAGAAGTAAAGACGCGAGGCAAAGAGAGAGAAGAAGGGGGAGGGAAGCAGAAGTGGGTTTCTGTAACGGGGCCGCGTCGCAGGGGCGTTCTCGAGGTTTCAGGATGGAGCCGCCATTATTTCTGCGGTGGAGGTGGGACGCCGCGATCATCTCGGGCGGTGCCTGAGCGCCGTTGGTGTCCAAAAGTATATATAAATCCGGGCCAACAGGCGAGAAGCTGCCGCTGGCCAAGGGATGAGGGTGCTGGTGTCGACACTCGGGGCCATGGGGGGACATTTGGCGCCGCTATCGAACCATGGTCGCTTCCCATGCCAAGCGGGCTGTCATCCCACCTTGACCTAATACGCATATGCGCCGAGAGACGGTGATTCTATTTGGTTCCAATTCCCCATGAAGCTCAACATGTGCCATGCTCGTGCTATGCTCTCGCCTGATCGTACAATCCCTACGCTGTCCCTCCCATCACCATCGTACTCTTCACTTTTTTGCCACTGTGTGTTGCCACCACAATCTCCGACCTCTTCCATCAAGCAGCCCGCCGCCAATATTTCTCCGCCGCTTAGGAGAGTTATGAGGCTGGAATGGGCGCAGGAGCCTCGGTACTAGATCCACCGGCGGCGTTGCGGCTGGGCGGAAGGAAAAGCGGCATGTAGGTGACGCCAAGGGCCATGACTACCAAACGCCATTAGCTTGCATGTCCTGCATGTTCGTTGCGGAAGGGGAGAAACAAGGATAGCTGTGTATTCGTACCGGACATGAGGACCGAGAAGATGCCGGGCGTGCTCGAGTTCTTGGTCGCCTCCTCACTCTCACCCAGCCAATTCTGGATGGTGAAGACGACAGCCGCCCTGTTCCAGCATCATCAGCTACATTGCTCCCGAATCTAATTTTTTCTCATGTTCGTGTCAACCGTGGTATCCTGTCGTAGAGACACATGCAGAGATTCGCAGCCATTGCCCGCAATGGAGAGAGCTGTGACCTTGCAAAACCTCGCAACGCCCTCCCCGTCAGACCCATGCTTCGTTTGGCCCGCGTTACATACCATCCGATGTATCTGTTCCGTGTAAACATGGCAGCCATGGGCAGCGTGGAGGAGATTGTCGACGAAAAGTCGGCCTTGTCGCTCGAGGCGGCGGGCGCCTGATAGGGGACGACTATTGGAGAATTCGCCACGTTAGCAACGGATTGTCGTTTGCGCCCGCCCAACGGGGGGGTGCCAATTGTCGGTTTCGGACATGGAATTCAGGCGCGTAGCAGAGGGGAGTTAACATACTCAGGTCCGGTCGTCGCATGTCCTTGCTTGACACCATGATTGCTCGCTGGGCTATGAGATGGTGCGTTGGAGAGGAATGGGTGTTGAAGCTCTCACCAGCCGTCTGGGGTACCGAGTTATTCCAAGAAGTCGCAAAGCCGTCCACGAAGCTGGGCAGCCAAAGTGCCGGGTGGGTCCGCGCATGCACCACCACCAACCACCAAGCCCGTCGTCTAATACTACCGCCGACGCCGACGCGACAATACCGAACCTAAGCCAAACACTCCATGTTATTTATTACAAAGCCGCGGGGAAGCTCATCTTCAGCTTGGAGAGTTGGATTGCGTCTGACTACTATGTAAAAATTACACTCATGGCTACCGAATGCCCGTACCAATAACCTATAAATCCTTCAAAACCCGTGCCTGTCGCTTTAAATGCAATGCCCTGATACACCAAACTTAACCTCGCTTTTGTAATATTCACGGTACCCGTATAATGACTTTCCATGCCAATGCGCCAGCTTCCCGAATTGCACAAGCCAAACAACTCCTCTTTCGTCTGCTAATAACCGCATTCCAGCCCCTCTGCGCGCACATCGCTCTCACCATAATCTCCATATCGGAACCAAACTGTCTCTTTTGAGACTCCAAATGCATTCTGGCCGCCGCAGAGAAGCTGCCTTTTCGATCAACGATCGGTGACGACGATGGCTTCATGATCTCTGCCAAGGCTGGCGACTTTGGTTGCTCCGCAAATCCGGTAATGCAGTCAATGACAAGCACTCGGTTCGACCCTGCTTTGCCAAAATGAGGATCAAGGAGAAATTCCGATAGCGTCGTGCGTGGCTTCTTGATCAGTTCGGAAATGTGTATCACTGTAAACTCGTAAAACTTGTGCAAAGGGTGTCCTGGTGCGAGTTAGACAGATGCACCACATACCGTTGCACACTGGTCGTAGGAGGACACGAGAGCCTTACCAGTTCTGAATGAGGCCCTCGAACTATTAGCCATCTTATCTCCCAACCCTTCCATTTGCTTCATCGTCGGGCTTGATACAGGCGACCTCACAACCCTCACTCTCTGTGATGGAGCACAGGGATGCGCCGTGACAAAGTTGACATCGTATGTCAGCGGATACTGGTACTCCTCCTCCTTGCTTCCGCCAATAGATACAAAGAACTTGCACCCTGCGGGGTATGAAATCAATTCGGGACATTTGGTACAATGCTCAACAGTCGGCGTTGGCACCATCTCTGACAGAGGGGTAGCCGCTACAGGCTCGGGAGACGAGGTGAGGACCAAAGATAAGAGCTCGACATAAACCGTGGGAGGCGGTGTAGTGTATTTGTTTTCATGTGGGATTATGAAGTCCGCGGCTTGAACGGAATTCTCCTTGCCATTGCCCAAAATGGATGATTCGCGTTCGATCTTTTTCTTGCCCCAAAGCCTGGCCTTTTTCCCAAGCTGGGCAATATCGTCTAATATACATCATCGGTCAGCGAGGCATACACAGTGGCACATCGAGTCAACTCACCAGCGACATCTTCAACCTCTATGGTCAGCCAGCCATCCTCCACACCTTCTGGGAGGACGTCCGTTGAAACCCAGCCCATGCATTCTGCTGCCCCCTTGCCCGCTGCGAGCACACGTCCAACAATGCAACTTGTGCTCCAAAAACTCTTGCCCGAGTATACGAAGCCTCCAGACAAATTCGCAAAGGGGCCGAGCTTTGCCATTGCCTCGGTGTCGTTCTCCAAAAGCGTGGCCATGAGATAGTGACAAAGGGAATCGCCGGGAATGATCAAGCCAAACACGTATGACTTGGTCAGCCAGCCAGATTCATGAAGGGCAGCAGCCAACCTTCGTCGTTGGGCTTGTGCACGACCCTTGTGTTTGCCATGGTTACATGTAATGTCCCAAGCACCAAAATTTGATGAGTGTGTCGATAGTATGGACAGTGAGCTGGTCCTCCGCCCAGGAGTTTCCTCGATTGCATTCTGTGCGTTTTCTGAAATTTTGGTCTCGTACCTGTCTATTCCTGGCCACATCAAGTTCCTGGCAAAGTGAGTCAGGCCCTCAACCTGACGTTCGCCATTGCGCCCCTTTATAGTGTAGTGGTAAGGCAGTGACGCGATCTTTTTGTGATATCGGTTTGTGACTCTACTGGCCAGCGCCCCGAGCCAGCTGCTCCCACGCCGCGGGGCTGGAGGCCGCACAGGCAAAGGGTCGCCCTCTTTGACAATTTCAATATTGTCGAGCCAACTCCGAGCCAAGAGTAAGGACCATTTGACAGTTTGAGATGCTGCTCGTTCAAAATGGACGACATCTATGGGCCTAATTCCAGCCACACCGTATTCGATCCCTTCTGTGACGGCATCCAGTCTGATGAGAAGCTCCGTTGCAAGCAAAATTTGCATGAAAAGCCAGTACTTTTCCTCAGCACGCTCCTTGGCATCATCGGTATCATGAATTGCTGTGTCGTCGTCCAGCTCGTCGCCATCGTTTTCCCCCCATAGCACCTGGCCCAAGCGAATTCTCCATTCGACGCGAGAAAAGTCTATCCAAACATTGGCAACGCCGAGGCATTTTAGCAAGGCCCGAATTTGATTGTTAAGGCCGTAGTGGTCTGCCTGGTCAGTAACGGCGCTGGTTGGCCTCATGAAATTGTGGAAGAGGTCCTTGTACGTTTCCGCACAAGTTCTCGACTTCAGGTCGTTGTGCCGGTAGATGTCGCTATTTCGCCTGAGTCGATCCAGGACTTCCGGCTCTGGTATACGACGCAGCATTCCGCTGTGCGACAGCATGTGAGCTCTGGCCTCCACAATCACCTTGGCTTTGGTGCCGAGGCTTTCGAAACCGAACTGCTCCTCCTCAAGGGAATCGCCCGCCGGAAGTTCAAGAGCTGCCTGATAACCCATGGTTCCCTTTTCCAGTCCCTGCATGCTCATCATATTCGGCCGCTCTCGACACTTGACATGGAAGTGGGCCTTGTGGTTCTCCTGTGCCTGCCTCTTGGCGACGGCATCATATTCTGCATCCCTGGTCAAGTGTGGCCAGGCCGTCATGGCACCCCAGGCCTTGTCCTCGATTTGAACATGATCTGTCAAGTCTCTGATTTCAAGCTCTTCGTCAAACAGAAATGCGATGCTAGGATGGGGAGCGCCATAGAAGTGGCTCTCATTCCGCGCGAAGAATTGCGGTGCTCCAGAGAAGAGTTTCTCAATGTCTTCCTCAGTCAAGGTTGTCGACATTGTGCTGTTGAGCGTCACCGCGGGATCTTGCCTCGTGAGCCATGAAAGTGCCTAGAGAGACTGGGGCATTGGCACTCGCGCGCACCATCAATACGGAGATGCGGTGTGTGCCGCCAGCTGGGTGTCCGGGTTGAGCAATGGGAGGCCAGAAGGTAATGCGTGCGGATAATTCGTGACTTGAATGGACGAGACTGGGTAGCGATGGCACACGATTGATCCTTGGTCACCGGCGACAGGAATTCGTGAATGACAGATGCCGTTGTTCGAAGCCAAAAACCAATGCACAGAAGGATCCTTGACCCTATCTTCTCGCAGCTCGCATAAGCAGGCAGAAAAACTCGGAAAGCAATGGACACCCTGGCGCAGGAAGACGTTCAGGTCGGGAGTGCGAGGAGCGCTTCTCCAGACGCCCACTCGTGGTTTCGTGCTTGAGTGAGTGGCGTGACCTTTTGATTGCTCTGGTTGACTTGCAAGCGCCGCAAGATGCTCGGCATGGACTGGGGTGCAAGTGTCGCAAGGAGCTTGAAGCAAGTGAGTAATGGCTCAATGTGCCCGTTACAAAAATAAACAGATTGCAGAGGCCGTTGATCTCGTGCAGCAAGGAATTGATGAGTGGGCGGGCAGTTGAGGGAGGTCGACGAATGTTGATCTCGTGCTGGGTTCTGAATGCAGATGGTTCAGGCCCTGGTCCCCTATTCTTGCTTTCCCCGCAATCTACAAAAGCAGGCGCGGCTTGGGAGGCTCTAGTTCGTTGAACCAGTTGACACTTCAGGTGTCAGATCCCCCAGCCCTCGTCCCAATTGCGCCAATCGCCCGGACTGGCATCTGCATATGGCATCTGCATCTGGCATAGGGCCATCTGGAGTTGAGTGTTTTAGGCGTGCGTCGCCTCAGATAACCGCTGACAAACTGCCGCCGGCCGGCCTCAGAATGCACATCATGCAGCTACATGTATGTACGTACCAAGGCATGTAGCTTGTGTTAGGATCCACCTCCTAAATAACAGAGCTGGACAGTAGGTGCTGCTCGGGGGATGCAAAATAATACGTAAAACAATAGCATCTGAAAACGCCACCGAATTAGTCATTATGACGAAATGTGCGCAGAGTTCCAACACTTCACGCCGCAGCTACGAGTCAGCCAGACATCACCAATTCACCAACGCAAACCACTCGAGCTTCAGGCAGAACTTGGGCAGTCCATAGTTCAATATTGCCATGCAAGATCAGTTGCTAACTACATGTACGACCTCTATGGGGTATCATTCATCCTGTACGCCGTGTCAATCCTTTGCGGCAAAGCAGTCATATCAATGCGCCAACTCGTCAAAATCATGCATATCCCCGGCATAGTCATTATTCAAACCCTCCTTTTCATCGATCATGTCTGGATGGTAGCATCATGTACAAAATTCCAGAAAATTTGCTGCTTCTCAAGCAGATGGCGTGTCGTGAATAACGGTGAGAACGTATTTGGCATCGGGGACGATGACAATCTCCTGCTTCTTCGTTCGTAATCTAAGCAGTCGCATTTCATCCTGTTCTGAAGTTAGCCAAGAATTCGGTCTGCGTCCAGAATTGGTAGAGCAACCTCTGCATCCACCTCCTGCACCAAATTACCAGACGTTCTGACAAAGTTCCAAATCATCGCCGCGAAATCCTCAACCCCTTGAGATTCACTCGCTTCCGCTGCAGGGGCCTCGTTGGAGAACGAAGCTGATGTTGCAGCATCTCGAGCCTTTGCTGTTCGAAGAGCCGACAGTTCGCCGCTGGTCTTTAGAATCGCGCCGCTTGTTCTGTCAAGAACAATGCTCGCCCGGACGCCCGGTTTTTTAGATAGTCGCCCAAGCTTCTCTTCGAGAGCATCGTGACCGTTGGGCTAAAACTACCGTTAGCATCGTTCGTGATTCTAACAAAATTACTCCTTTAAAAATTGCACCTACCGTCGGAGAGTCTGTCATTGTCATTGTAGAGGCACCTGAAATCAGACCCTGTCTTGACAAAGAGATTGGCGCGTTTCCAGCCTGGGAGGTCCCATCAGTCAATATCGCCAGACTATGGCCGATGTGGGGAACTCCTTGGCTGGCGACAACAGTGACGGACTTCTGCCGAAACACACCGCCAAAATTTGACGGACCCCACGACAGAACCCACTGCTGACATCGTACGAATAGCATCTGTGACCAAAATTGATAGATAGTCTATTGCAACGAGAATTGGCTGTCGCATTAATTAAGAAAACAAAAAGCCTTTATAATTATCTGAACCGCTGTCAGAATGGGTTCTAGTGCCAAGAAGAAGAAGGAGAAGCAGAAAGACTTCCAGGTATGAAAATCTCACTGGTCGTGATAACCAAAAGAATAGTTGACTAAAGAGAAGACAAAATAGAAACCCAAACATAAGGTTGGGAAGACGAAGCCAAAGGCTTCAAATTTTACAGACACGAGCTTCAAGTCCAAAGGTTTGACAACGCCCCGGGCACTGAAGTTGACAAGCCGCTGATCATTGAGGAAAGCCATTGTGGTGGGACAGCAATCCTTATCGACGGATGCACCAGACTACGTCCAACAATTCAAGCACAGTTTGTCTTTAGCGTCCTCGTCGAGATCAGATAAACAACGCCGGGAAGCCTTGGCTTTTTTGACGACCCAACTATCTGCCGACCAGCCATCCAATCCCGTTGGCACCATTGCGCTACTGAATAAACTTCTTCCCCTGGTGTCCGACAGCTCTACCCCAGTGCGGGCTCAGCTTTTAAAATTACTTCAGACTCTTCCAAGAGACGAGATCAAGCATGGCACGGAGCACGCATCAATGTACATACGGGCAGGAATGACGCATTTGTCCGCCGATATAAGTAACGACTCGCTGGCCGAGATGGAATGGCTACTCGAGGTAGCTGGTCCCGAGCTGGTCAACTGTCCAGGTGGATGGGTTAAGACTCTTGGTACATTTTGTGCAATGATGGGCTGGGCTGTATCTTCTTCTAATGGGGGTTGGACTTCGGCCACACGCACGTCAATGAAAGCCAAGGACGCTCAAACCCTTGCCAAACAGATCACAGCACTGTCTCGGTTTCTCCAAGCTGGATTCGCGGATGAATCATCTCAAGTGGAGAGCTCTTCTCAATACTGGGATACTCTGTACAGAGTACCTCTTGCGCCGAATTCCTTTGAATATCTCAATCTCTCTGGCGCTCGTCGTGATGAAGAAGGCGAGATGTATTCAAATCGAGCGGCCCGACAAGAAATATTCTGCAAGAGATTTCTTGATGCTATTAACAAGGGCCTTGATAAGGCCAAGAAAGAAGGAGGTGCCACTGGTCGTGCTGCCTCTTTAATGGAGCAGATTTTGAAAGACGGCCTGGCCGATTTTGAGCCTTTAGCTGCAATGGATACACAAGATCTGCTCGATTTATGGTGAGGGACGTTGGTGGTCATTTCATACTCCAGCACACGAGTTTGTCTCGTGACGGCAGAGACTGACGTGGGACGAAACGCAGTCCAGCCCATCCCGTCATCACTACGACACCTGCAGCAAATATGTGTGCTCCACAATTAAGTGGCTAGCCCACTTAGTTGTCAACGGGTATCTGTCAATTGGGTTCTCGTCACCATGTGTGCTACACGTGCCGGCGCGTGGCCAGTTCTGCACATGTGGCCCGCGTGTGGCATAAGTCAAGGGCGATAAGACAACAGAGACCGCTTGCACGGCATGAGTTTGCCTCTGAGCAACGGTTATCCGCGGAGACATAAAATAGAAAAGCAAAACCACTGGGTTCGCCGAATGGACGAGTTGCACTCTGACTAGCCATCCAGTTGGCATAAAGTCAAATAATATGAATAAAATAATCTATGCACGACCAGAAGGAGCTCTCCGCTTGCTTCTCAGGTAACGTAAATATATCGCATATTAATCACACCAAGAATTGTAAAGGGTCAGAACGCCCCAGCAAGTGAGCGCGCCAGGTGTTTTTTAAACGCATTAAATTTAACTTGAGCACAAAGTCGCAGTGCCGACAATTGTGAGCCAGCTTTTGCAATAAACCAGCCCGGGGTCCTGCTCGAAAGCGTAAAGTGCAGAAGCTGCCATAGTTTCGCTCGCACATCGAGGCAGCTGGCAAGCTCTCCAACAGCTGTAAGTGTTTACATATAAACCTTCCTCCCCTTCCTCCTCCCCTTCCTTCCTTCCTTTCTTCCACACTTCTTCTCATGCTTCCCGCCTTCTTGTAGGTAACGAGAAGCTTTGACCTGATCAATCACATAAGTGCTCCTTCACTTGTTCGTTTCCTCATTCATTGAGACCGTTGCGGTTCGTAGCAAGGTGAGAAACTACTCTGTTTACTTTGCTTTTCTACACCTGCGTTTTGATGTGTCTGCTGAGCCCATGCGAGCTCCAGCAGCTTCTCACGCTTCTTCTGCTAAACAACAGACTGGAACCACTCCAGAAGCTGGGTTTTATCGAGCACGCAGAGGCTGAAAACTGACTCAACTCCTAGAACTCGCCTACTGCAAGTGGAAACCATGGCAAGCCAGGTCAAGCCTGATCCTGCAGCCCCAGGTGCCTGGGTTGAGCCCCAAAGGATTGACTACTCGGCCCTGAATGGCAATGACAGCCAAGAAGTCGAGAATTTCGATGGGTCTGCGCCGATTTATCAGTGGAACGACGAGTTCGGGGATGTAGGGCCGAAGTACGAGGCCTTGGAGCTGGAGCTCTTCGGTGACCCGGAGACTCGTCACGACCGCGCGGGATTGGACTTCTCCAAGTAAGTTTTCCACACTATTGGCTCAAATTCATCTAACGTCGCCAGAATTGAAAAGATCAGCGTCGAACAGGAAGGACCTGTCAGGATCCAGCCACTTCGCACCTTCAAGGACGCTGCGTTGCACCCTGTCATGGCGGAGAACATCAAATTGATGGGATACGACGCTCCTACGCCTATCCAGAAATACACTATCCCATCGATGCTTCAGGGTCACGATGTGATCGGCATTGCTCAAACAGGTATGAAATAAACCACTCAACATACGATTATCTCCATCGACTCAAACGAGTTATTAACGATGCCGCCATTTGCAGGATCCGGCAAGACAGCTGCATACTTGATTCCCATTCTGGGCAAGCTCATGGGCAAGGCCAAAAAGTTGGCCGCTCCTCGCCCGAACCCGGCCACCTACCGTGAGGGCATTGATGCCGTCACCGCAGAGCCATTGGTTTTGGTGGTCGCACCAACCCGAGAGCTAGCTGTGCAAATCTTCAACGAAGCTCGAAAATTCTGCTACCGCTCCATGCTACGTCCCTGTGTCGTGTATGGTGGCCTGCCTATGGGTCAGCAGATAAGTTTGTTGAGCAAGGGATGTGACATTCTCGTTGGCACGCCTGGGCGGTTGGTTGATTTCATATCCCGTCCGCACATTCTGACTCTTCGTCGCCTTAAATATATGATTATCGATGAAGCTGACGAAATGCTGGATTCTGACTGGAATGATGAATTAAGCATGATCCTCACGGGAGGAGGTAGGTGTGATTTCTTCCTTAATTATAACCGAGAAGACAGACTGACATTATATATGCAGAACAAGATGAGGGCAACATCAAGTACGGTCTTTTCTCAGCCACATTTCCCAAGGCTGCTCGTGACCTTGCCAAGGATCACTTGTCGGCGGCTCATGTCCGATTTCGAGTTGGCAGAGCCGGCAGTACGACGGAAAACATTAAGCAGGTGATACTCGCCACAGAGCGAGAGGAGAAGCGCGATACCCTTCTCCGCCTTCTTAATCAAATGACCGGTGTGAGAACCATCATCTTTGCAAATAGCCGCAGAGAAGTGGACAACTTGGATGATTTCTTGTACAACATGGGGCTCCCGGTCACCTCCATGCACTCTGAACGAACTCAGAAGGAACGTGAAGCCGCACTGCGTTCTTTCCGTGCTGGCCAGGCGCCGATTCTTATTGCCACTGGAGTGACTGCTCGTGGTATTGATGTCCGTAACGTCATGCATGTCATCAATTATGACCTCCCGACCATGGAACATGGTGGAATCGAGGAGTACACGCATCGAATTGGTAAGTTAGCTATTGGGAAACTGAAATGATGTTCTAACCGTCCTTCCAGGTCGAACTGGACGTATTGGCCACCGAGGGTTGGCCACGTCCTTCTTCGATCCTGTGAATGATGATTCCATGGCTAGCGTTCTCACTAGGACCCTCCTTGAAACAAAGCAGGAGATCCCAGAGTTTCTGCAGATGCATGTTCCAGAAGGGGACGCGGCGATTCATCTTCGCTTTGAGACGGAGTCTGACTATGACCCTGCCGAAGCACAAGGCCAAGGGCAAGCCAATGGTACCTCGGGCAACGACTCTTGGGGAGGAGGGCAAGCAGAGGATACAAATGGTACTAGTTCTGGATGGGGCCATTTTAACACCGACGCTGCGAATTCTTTGGCTCCAGCCAACAACGGCTGGGGAGGCGAGGTTGCTCCAACTGCTCCGGCTGCTACAACCAATGGTTTGGGGGGCAATGCTGCTCCAACTGCTCCGGCTGCTACAACCAATGGCTGGGGAGGTGAGGCTGTCGCAACTGCTCCCGTTCCTACCAATAACGGTTGGGGAGCTGATGCTCAAACTGTGCCTGTTGGTTGGTAACCCTCAAAGGGCAATCATGTTGCCGGTCTTACGTTATGGTATGACATGTCTTTGATGCAGATATCGAGAATTGAGACGGTGTGGTTGTGATTTTACGCAAGGTCATACACAGGCACACCTTTGCCCATAGTAACAACAGGTCTCAGATAGTTAGTTGCAGAGTGAATGCTAGTCAATGCTTTTGTTTCGCGAATTCAACAAATATGTGACTAGGCGGGCTGATGTCGTGCCCTCGTAGGAACTCCCAGCTCGAGAAGTTTGGCTTTCAACCTCCAACGGGCATTGAAAGAGCGCCGCCGTCTTTTGCAATTCCGGAGAATACACTAGTTGGTGATGATTAATAAAGGCCTTGATATATACAAAGCAAGTTTAGAAGATGATGTACAATGGTGGCAGGGTTACATATTTCCCAGTATCTTCCCCAAACCCTTTATTTTTCTCGGTCCGTCTCCATAACCAACCTCTACAACCCCTTGGGTGAATGCCCAGCCCTTTTTCTGACTAGGCACAGGATACTGCACGGGGGGGGGAATGCCCGTCCGAATACCCATCCACCAAAAGCGATCCTCGCAGACGCTCTTGACATTACACAGGCCCCTGAGCCCTTCCTCACCTGCGAATCGGCCGTACCCAGAGCCAGCAACTCCACCAAAGGGAAGTTGGACGGCATAGTAAGCGGCAAAGTCGTTGACGGCAACCATGCCTGCCTTGAGGCCACGGACAATGGGGCCCATGGCGGGATCGCGTTCAGAGCCGTGAACGGAAGCGCCGAGGCCGAAGTTGGGTGCGTTTGCGACGGCGAGCATGTCCTCTGCCGAGGAGGACTTGGCTCTCAACATGGTCAAAACGGGGGCGAAGCACTCATGCTGGGCGATGCGCATGTCGGTGGTGACGTCCACGAGGAGTGTGGGCTGGAAGTAGTGCCCGCTGGGGTAATCGGGGTGGTCGTACCGCTTGCCGCCGGCGAGGAGCCGGGCCCCTTGCGAGACGGCCTCGGCGATGAGCTCCTCCAGCCTGTCGAACGAGGCGTCCGATATCATGGCGCCGACGTCGGCGTCGGGGCCGAGGCGGAGGGCCCTGACGCGGGGCGCCAACATGTCGACGAGCCTGTCGTAGACGCGGCCTGCCGCGATGACGCGCTCGATGCCGATGCAGTTCTGGCCGGCGGCCTGGAAGGTGCCCCTCAGGACGACCTCTGCTATCCGCGCGAGGTCCCTGGCGGCCGAGTCGAGCACGACGAAGGGGTCCTTGCCGCCCAGCTCGGCCACGACGGGCGTCAGGCTCCTCGCCGCGCTGGCGGCGACGTGGTGCGCGACCGATTGCGAGCCGATGAAGGTGACGTGGCTTATGCCCGGGTGCGAGGTCAGGTGCCCTGCGGTCTGGGGCCAGCAGGCGACGGTCTGGACGAGGCCGGCGTCGTGGCCGTGGGCGGCCAGCGCCCCGCGGGCAATCTCTGCGAAGTGGGCGCTCGACCAGGCCGTTTGCTCCGAGACCTTGACGACGATGCCGTTGCCGGCGAACAGGGCGCTGATGACGGGGCCCATCATGTTGTGGAAGGGGTAGTTCCAGGACACGAGCGCCGAGACCACCCCCAGCGGCTCGTAGTGGACCGTGTTGCGCTTATACGCCATGAGGAGGTTCGTGGGCCGTCGCGAGGGCCTCAGGGCCTTCTCGCCGTGCAGCAGCGTCCACTGGATCCTCTCGACCGTGACGAGGATCTCGCCCAGCTGCGCGTCGACCATGGTCTTGCCGCTGTCGAGGCCTGCGACTCTGCAAATGTCCTCGGCGTTGTCCAGGACGTACTGCATGAGGGAGCGGAGGACGGCCCTGCGCTCGCGGAACGACGTCTGTCGCCATGTCCTCTGGGCGGCCGACGCGGCGGCGACGGCGCGGTCGATTCCGTCTGGCGTGGAGGGGTTGACGAGGCCGAGGAATTGGCCCGTGGCAGGGGCGTAGCATTGGATGGCCGAGGTCCCGGGGATTCTGATGCTGGTTTGCTCAACCGTCGTCCTGGTCTCGGGGAGTTTGGCGGGAGGCACGCGGTATCGAATGGGTCGGGGGGTCGAGTTGGCGTGGGCGCGGACGAGGAGGCGCGTTACGATGGAGGAGATGAGGATGGCGGTTATGGCGCACCCGATCTGGAGGGTTGTTGTTCTGTGAATGTCGGGTACAGTTAGCAATTGCGTCGGAAGAAAGAGCAGCACGGGAGCCTTGGAGAGGTCCGTACGAAACGTCAAGTCTCTCAGTCGTGTAGTCGCTGAAGTCGTGCCACCGCGACGCCAGCCGCTCCAGGAAGAGGGCCTCCATTGGTTCAAGGCGCTCGAAAAGTATTCCCGAGATGCAACGGCACGGCTCTTCTGTCGGTTTCTCAGCAGCCACGACGACTTCAAAAGCTGGTGTTTGCACAATGGCATATCAGGCTTAGATTGTCGACCTGGCTTGGGAGTGGGATTGACAGGTGGGAAGTTCGACCACCAAGAGGAGCTCATGTGGGGCCGACTGACTTGAAGACTTGGCGACTTTTACTCCGAAATCTACTAGGTACCTAGTAGGTACCTAGGTAGATAGCGGCACTAATGCTCCAGTACTTGCGTACTTAAGTATGCAGTCTGTAGAGCTGCAATGTTCCAGTGCGTTGCGAGCAAATGGCTCATTTTCTTGCCAAGAGCTACCTACAGCTGATGCCGCAGGTTGTCCAGGTTGAAACAAGCAGCTAAGCGTGCATGTTGCCTTGCTCACCCGTTACAGTCACATCGCCACGTCAACCGTTAGCTATGCTTAATATTTATACTTCTTTTCATCTCCAAAAGAAAAAGATACAATATTCACATGTGCAGCATACCATATCCAGGGTTCCTTCGGGTTGCCACCTCCTTTATGGTAGCATAAACACCCTTCCATAATTCTCTATATCGCACCTCCACTGCCTCTTAAGAGTGCATCAAGACAAGTGTCGAACAAAGCCATGCAAAGGCAAAATACAAGGAAAACAATGATACTACAGGCGGAACGGAGTCCCCACTCACCCTCCCTTCCTTCTTGCCCATCTCTCGCGTAAGAATAAAAAAAAGTAAAAAATTCTAGGTGTACCGGGGCAAGAAAAATATATAGTGAAACGCAAGAAACAATCAGGATTGTCGTGCTCCAGCCCGCAGAACGCCTTGCAAAGATGAATTTGTTCCCAAGCAGGTAAGACAGTGCAGTGAGAAATCTCTTTTGTTGTGCCGCCAATTATCGCTTTTCCTCTTGGTCGGATGTCGGTGATGTAAACGCGGTGATGTGTGAATGGTTGTCGTCAATGGACTGTGGAAAAGCATTAAAAGAAAAGTCAAGTGAGTGTCAGAAACTCATAGATCGCTCATGCAGATCATTAAAACGCATGGATGACGACGGCCCTGCGGTGTTTCGTGTTCTAACAGGTATATAATGGATTCTCTCGGCACACACCCTGGCAAGCATGCGGGAGGGGGGTATCACGCAGAAGTCGACGGCAGTCGGGATAATATACAATAACTGTTCAGGGATATGGTCGTCGCCGACCAATTTCGAAAGACACCTAAACGTTTGCACTCTTGGTCAAGGACAGTCCACGAAGTCTTGCCTTGAACCGGCCGCCCTGGGGTTGCTGAGAGTGTGATTGGCTCGATTCAATCCGTGATAGTCGAGCTGCCGAAGTAAAATCATTACTCGCCTCAAAGCTAGGTCGGACGCGATCCATTGACATGCGCATTCGGTCATAAGACGGTCTCGCACGTTCTATTGAAGGACGACCCGCAGCAGGGATGTCGAGCGACATGCGGTTCGCTGTGTAGTTTGTCGAATCGCTGCCATTCTGCGTTCGATTGTGGGTTGTGGTCCGTGTGGCCGTCGACGGCGGGTATATCGGTCGCAGGTCTTCGTCCACGCTGCCATATGCCATGTGCTTTGCTTTCTTCGGGCTCTCGGACCCTGATCTCCCACTAGAGCTCTTTTCACTGTCGGCTTCTCCTGCAGCACCTTTATCAAGATGAGCAAACAGGCCAGCGCGCTCCTGCTCCCTGATGATATCGACGTCGTACGGCCAGTAGACCTTCTGGAGTGCCTTGATAGCGAATCGGGGAAAGAGACAAATAACAGGAACAAGGAAGAAAACCGCCCAGAAAGTTGCTTCTCCATAGACCTGAGCGGCGGTGTGGTAGAAAAAGCCGGATGAGGTGAATGAGGTGTAGATGCCTGTCCAAAAAAAGATGAAAACATCACTGATAGCCACAATGAGAAGCATCAACCAGTCCCAGCGATACGTATTGATCAAAATGTAGCCATTGATGGCTAAGATGGCTGGATGGGCAACGTATGCACCGAATCGAAGCCTGTCCTCGAGGCCGAGTCCATTGAAAGTTACTGATTTAGCAGGGATAAAGAGTAGGTAAGGAATGAAGAAAACCATGACAGACTGGTAAATACCATCAATCATGTAGAGCCTGTGTAGTTGGTTGTCTGTTAGTACTCGGGTCCCCCACGCTAATAGTCTCTTTTCAAGGGCACGTCCAACTTACCAGAACTTCTTTTGTGTCCACTCCAGGCGCTCAATACCGCGGCGATAGAGTTCAGGCACAGCAAGGGAAACCTTATCGGATACATCCTGGTCGAGGACCCCCATGATAGCAACAGGTACGGATGTGAAGAACAGGTTGAACATGAGAATATATGTATAGTCGAATAGATATGTCATGTCGTAATCGCAAAAGGCCTCGTACCAAAAAATGGCAAACGTCCAAACCATGTTTTTGTAGAAGAAATTGCTGATACTCTCTGCCAGCCTTCGGTAAGACCATCGACCGTGCACAAGGACTAGTCTCTGGAGGAAACGGAACTGCGCAATAGCATAATCAGAAGACATGGCGGCCTGTCGGCCTTCCAAACCAGCAATACCAACGCCAACGTCGGCTTCCTGAATCATGGCTACATCATTCGCACCATCGCCAATGGACAGGGTCATAACATCCAATCCATTCTTGACCATGGCAACAACGGCAGCCTTCTGGGCAGGGCTGACGCGGCAGCACAATACTGACCGACACTGCTTGCACAGCAACAAGAACTTCTGTTTTAAATTGTCGTGGAGTGCCCAACGCAGCGTAAAACCATCTATAACAACCCCGTGGGTTGGGCCAGGTGGTTCATGGCTCTTCCGGGCCAAAGCAAGATCTTCATCACTTCCCGTTATGCCAAACACCTGAAGGTATTGATCAAGTTGCTTTTCAACATTCCTGAGGAAGGTATCATCCGCGGTCTCCCCACTCTCGTCTTCTTCAACTTTCAGGTGAATAAGCTCCATGTCGTTGTTGAGTAAATTGCAGGAAAAGCCAATGTTGATAGCCGTCTCAACTTTATCGCCAGTCAGAACCCAGAGCTTAATACCAGCCTTGGCAAGCAGGGCAATAGTATCGGGCACGCCGTCCTGGAGACGATCCTCAATAGCAGTACCACCGAGAAGGTAGAGTTCTTGTTCAATCATGTCAGCTACGTTTTCCAGCTTCTCTTCGCGGTTTTCCAGAGCCGATGCGGCTGCATCATGCTCCTTCTTCCAGTGGCGGTATTCCTCCTCAGTCAGGTCTCTACGAGCAATGCAGAGCGTACGAAGACCTTCGCGAGCAAACATTTCAAGATGCTCGGCAGTATCGCGTCGAAGTTGCTGCTGCTCGCCTCGCTTTAAACGAGCATATATCACCGAATCGGCCCCCTTGCAAATCAGAATGATTCGGCCATCAGGCATTCTGACAATGGAGCTCATTCGCTTTCGGCTAGAGTTGAATTCGATGGTATTGAGGATCGGGTAGTGGCGTTCTTCGCCCATGACGTTGAGGTTGATGCCGTCGCCTGAGTGGCCCAAAACGGTGAATCCCATATCACGAGCTGTGGCTACCAAAGCCTCCTCATCGGGTGATTGGGCCTTGAATGTCATTTTAGGGGGATCACCTGGAACCTTCTCTGCAATGACTGTGTGGCAAAGAGCCAATGCCAGCATGAACTCTTCGATAGCTGATTGCTGTTCTTGGCCGTGCTCTCCAGCCAGGTCGGAGACGAAATCGGGAGCAATGAACGTGAGAGCATCATCGTGCAGATATGGGTTGTCGTTGATCTTGCGAAGGCCTTCAAGGGCTTGTACTTTGGCCTCAGCGATCTCAGCCTGTATGCGAGCCCCCTCCTTTTCCACATCCACACCCATTCGCTTTTGCATACCGGCCTGTGCCTCGGTGTATGCTTCGCCATAGGGTTGTCCATTGATCGTCGCCTTCTTGAACTCCATGACGTTTTGGGTAAGCGTGCCAGTCTTGTCTGAAAAGATATACTCAATCTGGCCCACGTCGTCGGAGATGTTCCAGGATTTCGGGATGCAAGGTTGGTCGATGGGTGCGTAGTACATTTCGACATCGCTGAAGATGAAAATAGCCTGAAGGGTCCTCACGATTTCCAGTGTGATGTATAGGGAGATAGGAACCAAGTTCTGGAACAGAATAATGGCAGCCCAAAAGGTGATGAAACCACTCATAGGGGCGCTTCCACCAATGGACTCAAACTCAAAGAAATGGAGAGAAGCATCGGTCTTGGCCCAAGCAACACCATTCACGATGGCGGCGAGAAGGCACATGATGAGAAGAATTCCAAAGTTGCAGATGACGTTGAAGTTCATCTCTCTGGCAATTCTAGCGCGCTTGCTTGGCGTAATACCGGCATTCATCATAATTCGCGTGTCATGGCCCGTAAAAACAACAACACCAAGAATCCATTCAGTATTGCGCAAGTTACAGCCTCGAAGCAGAAGATTGTCAATGGTAATAGGCTCAGTCATGTCCTCGGGGTCATCATCCGGATATCCCGGAACGACCTGCTGCCAGTGAATAGCTCCATTATACTTGTAGAGATTAGGGTGGGGAGCTTCACTCTCAATCTTGAACTCCGCGCGCTCGGCGTCACGGGCATGCCTAATCGATCGGCCACAACGAAGAGCTTGTCGGACCTTCAGGTTAGTCTCGCCATCCAAGTTCTTGGTCTCGACGTAACAGGCTCCGTCCGGATCGGACGTGGACAAGATGATGACATCGGCGGGCAATTCGTCGTCGTTGTAAATACGCACGAAATCACCAACTTGGAGACCTTTCCAAGTATCCTTCTTGAAACGCGCGCCCTTGGATGGCTTCATGTAATTAATCAGGTCGGATTTCATGTCCTGAATAGCAGCGGCACGCTTTGCATCCTCTTCGTCAGGAAATCTAATGTGGGGAACTCCATTTGCAGGCGTCGGGGACGGTACTGGTGTCATCTGAATCTCTTCCTGGGCATCAACAAACGATTCCCGGTTGCCGAAAGGGGAGGCGATGGAATCGCGAATTGACCTCCGTGTCCGAACCGTTTCTATGGAGGGTCGGCCCTCCTCTTCCATTTCGGGATTTCGTTTGCGTTCCTTTCGCTCAGCCCGCAGCTTCCTGGCCTTCTTGGACCATAAGCT